ACCCACTCACCCACCCATCCATTCATCTTTCTTTCTTTCTTTCTTTCTTTCTTTCTTTCTTTCTTTCTTTCTTTCTTTCTTTCTTTCTTTCTTTCTCTCTCTCTCTCTCTCTCTTTCTCTTTCTTCCTTCCTTTTTCCCTTCCTTCCTTCTCCTTTCCCTCCTCCCCTCCTCCTTCTCCTCTTCTTCTCCTTCTCTTTCCCCTCTTTCTCCTCTCCTCCTCCTCTTCTTTTCCTCCTCCTCCTCCTCCTCCTCTTTCTCTTCTTATTCATCTCCTCCTCCACCTCCCCCCCACCCCCCACCCCCAACTCACCGTGGGCCAACTTGCTGCTGGACAACTCACCTGCAGAACAATCCACCAGTTCAGTTACTCAAAACGAATAACAAAGCTGTTTTAGTTTTTCTCATCCGCATTTCGTTCTGCCCCTCTCCTTAACGCTTCCGTTCCGACCTTTCTTGGATACTAGGCTAAACTTTTTCTCCTGAATTGCCACGAGACCCGGGAAACCCCTTGCCACTTAAGCGTTGCCGTTTACTAACATTGTGAGGGGTGTGTGTTTTTTGGGGGACCACGTTCAGGTGCTAAGCAATGAAGATTACGAAGAGTGGGTGAAAGGACAGTACCTGGCCGAGAGCAGCATCGAAAACAGAGAACAGCTCCTTCTGGAATCCGCGGAGAGGCTGGAGAATAAATTAACCCTGCTGGGTGAGTTGGCAAGAAAACCATCTCTTAAATCTCTTAAAAAATGCAGGAGAAATCCTCATCGGCATCATCGCCTTCTTTTAACGACCCCCCCCCCATAATCCCCGGCAGGATGGAGTGTCTCGGCCACTGAATGGAACAGTGGTGAAATCTAACTTTTTTTTTTTAACTACCGGTTCTGTGGGCGTGGCTTGGTGGGGGTGGGTGTCATGTGACTGGGTGGGCGTGGCTATGTAGCCATGTAACTGGGGGTGGGGGGGATCAAAAGTCAGAAACTCACTTTAACAATGTCCTGCTGGAGCGGGGTTGGACTAGATGACCTCCAGGTCACTTCCAGCCCGGGATTGCTGTGCCGTTTCAAAGCATCTTCTGAAGCTGTGTCTAGTGCCAGATTTGTAGTCCTTCCTTCCTCTCCTTTTCCCCTCCCTTCCTCCCTCCCTTTCTTTCTTTTTCTTTCTTTTTCTTTCTTTNCTAATCTGTGGGATCTAATCAGTCTATTGGAGGTAATTGGCAGCAGGCGGTCTCTCAAGTTAATCTCATAGATAACCTCCAAACTTGATTATGTTATTGCTGATGTCTAAGACATCATGAGAACAGCTGTTTGGGGTAAGCAGTCTTCTGTCTTTGGAAGTTAGCTTTAATGGGACATTCTGAAGAAAGCTCTACGTATAACATTATCTGCAGAAAGCTTTCTCCATTCTCGGAGATAAATATTGCCTTTAGCCATAGAAGAACAGTCGGTTCTGTCTGTCATACTCTACTGTGTCACTGTTAATTCATACAAGCATGTTAACTACTTATCTTTTTACAGTTACTATAAATTGATGACAGCTGCATGCTAAATGACTGAACTCCATTTAAAGTACCAAATGGGTTAATGTGAAAATTCCATAATAATGTAACAATTGCTCATTATATGTACAAAGCATAAATTGCAATCATCTGGTGATAAACATGCATAGAAACATAAGAGTGTAAAAAAACCCTGACTTATAGCATTTTTGCAAACTATACAGTACATTGTTGATAGAGCATAAGTGAATACAGAATGGCAAAATAAGAAATGCCATGAAGATGGCCAATATAAAACTGCATTGTTTGTTGGTATAATCTGTTTTTATATTATACAAAATCAAGACCCCTTCATATACCATAACTGTTTCTAAATTTTGTTGGCACAATATCTAGAAATGGGCGGCCATATCCTATTGTAGCAGAATTCTCTTGAATGGCTGGGTTCAATTGCAGTACAATAACTTCTAGTGTAACAATTATGTCATTAGGCAACAGTATTACCACTATTATTTATTTGCTGATACAAAATCAGGTTATCAATAAAATAATCAGGGTTAGAAGTTACACTTCTTTTTTATGTCCACACCAGCTTCTCCTATAAGACAAAAGAAATTGGCATATTTTTGTGTCTATTTATATGTGTATTTACACTGATGTTTTAATTCTTGATTACATCATGGAGATCTTGAAGGAATTTACAAAGCTGTACAGGAAATGTCAACCATCTGAAATTAAATGAAGTTCCTTTATGTTGTATTCCTCTTTTCTTGATCTCTGTATTTCAGTTAAAACATGACATATTCTTCTAATTTGCAAAAAGAAAGCCTTTGGTTAATGGTGTTGTCAAAAGTCCCCCCCTCCAAAAACTTCCCTGCTTTTAGGTTTACAAATAGTTTGCAGATATTACTCAACTTTTGCTAAATGTATATGGTCATGATCCATAGTTTGCATATTATTATTTTTGATGTAATGTAGATATTATCAATTGAAAATGTGTTGTGTTATTGTGGGAGGTGGCTGTTTGCATAGTTTGTTATATATGCAATTTTCCAAGTGAGTCATTGTGAGTTATTTTTGATTGCAGGGGCTAATAAATATGAATGAATGAATGGCACTTAGACTTATATACTGCTTTACAGCCCTCTTTAAGTGGTTTACAGCGTCAGCATATTCCCCCCCCCAAAAAAAATATGAGCCCTCATTTTACCCACATCGGAAGGACGGAAGGCTGACTCAACCTTGAGCCTGGTGAGATTTTAAGTGCCAAATTGCAGGCAGTT